GCGCGCCCTGCCGGGTGCTCTCTCCTGTCCTGGCTGTCCCCTGTCGAGGTGTGTCCCCGGCCCGAGGGAGTGGGCGTCCCCCCGTCCTCGCGCATCTGCCGGCCTCCCTGGACGGGTCCCCCCGCTGTCCTCTGGTGAGCCGTGGGAGGCCAGAGTTCTGCGGACCTTGGAGATCCTGGTGTTGGACTTGGGCGCTGATTTTCAACCCCCGCTCCGTGCTTGGGCTTTTCTCCAGGAGGTCGGTACGGACTTCCAGGGAGCCAGGCCATCTCCCATCCTTCCTTAGAGCTTCCCAGGCTACTTCACGGACTTGACCTTCAGCTCCTCCCAAGAATAGGAAAACCCTAGGAAAAACTGAGCCCTGTCAGCTCTCCTCCTAAACAAGTCCGCGAAGAGCCAGGAATAGAGAGCCCCAGAGTCCTAACCTGAGACAAGCCCATACGGCAGTCAGCCATTCTCACCTGAGCCCCGGTCCCCACAGTTCGTGTGTCCGTGCGTGCGTGTGTGTGTGTGTGTGTGTGTGTGTGTTCATGTGCGTAGGGGTAGGGGATCTTTTAGGACCCTCTTGCTCTCCCTCAATCACACCCCCCATACACCCCCGCCCGGCGGTCACCTCTCAGCACCTCCTGGCGCTACCGGTTTGCTGCGTCGCCCTCTATAGACCAGTAGAGGCAGGAGACTGCATGAATGGGTGGGTAGTGCCCGAGCAGGGCTGCCTTTCCGGAAAGCTGCACCTCTGGGTGTTGTGACTTTCTGTTCATCCCTGAAAACTCCGTGGGCCCTCACGTCAGTAACCACCCCAGCTATGTCTGTTAAGGACCTGGTGTGTAGGGCAGTAGGGCAGTGATCTGCCCTGTCTAGGCTCTGAGAACGAGTCTCACTGACACCTTGCACAGGATGGGAGACTGAGGCCTGAGGTGGAAAAGGGACTTGCCCAGGACCACTTGGAGAGTGGTCCAGAGACAACACTAGATCCGTGCCCCTTTGGGGTCACAGTGGAGTAGCTGCTGAGACCAGGAGGCTGGGAGCCTTGGGACACCATGGGTGCTTGGTTCCCTGACTGTCCTGTGCCTGCAGGTCACAATGTTGATTGGAGCATCTCTAGTGGGGGTGCTGCTGTTCTCCAAGCTGGTGCTGAAACTGCCCTGGACCCAGGTGGGATTCTCCTTGCTGCTCCTCTACTTGGGATCTGGAGGCTGGCGTTTCATCCGGGTCTTCATCAAGACCATTAGGCGCGATATCTTGTGAGTACCTAGTCTGGCTCTTCCTGGGGACTCTCAATCACACTGAGCTCCTGAGCTCCAGAATGTCCCCAGACCAAACCTATGGCCCCCACTAGCATAGGACATCTGGGCTTCAAAGGAGCAGCTTCTGTGCCACACCCTTCCCCTGTGCCTGGTACCTCTATCTCCAAGGTCAAAGCCTTCTCCTAGGGATTCTCCCTAACTTGAGGCTCCTTGGGCTGAGGCAGGCTTAGAGACCTGGGACCCACGTCAAACACCAGATGTTTTGAAGAGACATCTCCAGGGGGTCCTGAGGCCACCTTTTAGTTTATGACAAAGTGAAAAGAAAGCTGTCCTCAGGTTGGGCCCAAGTTTGAGAGGGCACAAAGAGCTCTGAGTTCTAGAACAGGACCCTGAGTTAGAAATCTTGAAAGACCTGCTCTCAGCTGCTCCACACCAGGTGCCAAGCTGGCTCTGAGGTCCGGAGAGGAAGCAGGTCAGACCCAGTCTGCTGAGCTCAGATTGGCTAAAAGGACAAAAGGCTGTAACTCTACATGTACATATAGAGACCCCTACCGGCTGGCTCCCAGGCCCAGCACGGTAAGCCACATGCAAAACAAGCTGCTTAGCTCTTGTCAATCTGGGCTGACTACAGGAATTATCAAGTGGACCTGCAGGAAGGGTGGCAGCAACTGAACCGTAGGACATGGAGCGGAAGAGACAGCCTGCGGCCAGAGGCTCGGGGACTCTTGAGAGGTCTCCGGGAGGAAGGAGTTGTACTTGAGAGGAGCCTTGGAGCTGTGGGGGCAGGCATCACCCCAAGGGCAGTGTCAGCAAAGGCACAGCGGCTAGCGGGCTCACAGAGTCCAGGGGCTCAGAGGGTGGCAGGGGTGGGGCAGGAAGAGTTGCCAGGTGATTCCACAGCGTGAGCATGACCCTGTGCCTGACACGCAGCAGACCTGGGGACAAGGTGGCTGGCTGGCTGGGCTCCAGGGAGAAAGGCTTGTCCCTCATCAGCTCTGGCGATGGGGACTGGGGCTTGGAGGTGGCACCTGGGTGTGGAAGGCTTTTGGCAGAAGAGCAGGCTCAGAGGGGCGGAGTTAAACTGTAGACCAGAGAGCCCCAGGGAGACGCCCTGGGCAGATCGTGGTGCCTTGTGGGCCTCGGTTTCCTTCTCTGTCAAGGGAGAGTAATCACACAATCTTGGGGCATCGTGAGACCTGGGTGAGAGGGTGCGTGTCACTCTGCCACGCTCCAGGAGGAGCTGACGGTGAGGCCCAGGCAGCAGAGCAGCAGCCTGGGCTAGGACATCGGGACCACATCCTCCTCGCCCTGGCAGTCACAGCTACCTTGCCCACTCCCACACAGCGGTGGCCTGGTGCTTCTGAAGGTGAAGACAAAGGTTCGGCGGTACCTGCGGGAGCGGAGGACGGTCCCTGTGCTGTTTGCCTCTACAGTGCAGCGCCACCCTGACAAGACAGCGCTAATCTTTGAGGGCACAGACACCCACTGGACCTTCCGCCAGCTGGATAACTATTCAAACAGCGTGGCCAACTTCCTGCAGGCCCGGGGCCTGGCTTCAGGCGATGTGGCTGCCCTGTTCATGGAGAACCGAAATGAGTTCGTGGGACTGTGGCTAGGCATGGCCAAGCTGGGCGTGGAGGCGGCACTCATCAACACCAACCTCCGTCGAGATGCCCTGCGCCACTGCCTCACCACGTCGCGTGCACGAGCTCTCATCTTTGGTAGTGAGCTGGCCCCAGGTGAGCCCCAGGGTGAGGGGACAGTGGGGACTCCATGGGTCTTTACACAGACCGTGACTCCCTCCCTACCCTGGGGAGGGTTACATGGACTCATGGTTAAGGGCCTGGAGGTCCTGAGTGAGGGGCAGTCTCTGAACCTCAGTTTCCCCTCCAGTAGTACCTGCTTCCCACTGATCTCAAGAAGGTGCTTGCCCTGGAGCAGTAGCAAGGCAGCTGGTATTGTTTTATTTGCTGCTCCACATTGCCCAGAGTGCTGAGATTGGTGCTTTACAAAAGTGGCTCTGATCTTCCTAAAGACCAGAGAGGCCAGCGTTGTCATCTTGCTTTATGGGTTCAGAGGAGAGAGAAAGCTCACCAGTCACGTGGCTGCAGTGGCAGGACTGGGGTTTGATCTTGGATGGACCACAGTGCATCTGGTCTCTGTCCCCACACTGCTGAGGTCACAGGATAATGGATGGGGCTGGTTATTAAGATGCTTAAGGGAGAGGATACAGCGGTTAGAGGGCTGGGTGAATCAAGAGGAAGCCTCCCCTCCTGCCCTCTGACCAATCCCCCACAGAGCCGCCCCCTCACTCAGCCCAGGTTTATTTCCTCAGCTGTAAAACAAGCTGTTGTTGGTACTTTATCCCTAGGGCTGCAGGCACCTGCATGTCAGGCTCGGGCCCCAGCCACCGAGTAGGTGCTTCCTGGTCTCCCCGCTCTCTCATGTGCAGCCCTAGCACGAGCAGAGTCCCACCTGCTGACCCGCCTGTCTTCCCCACAGCTGTCTGTGAGATCCATGCCGGCCTGGACCCCTTGCTCAGCCTCTTGTGCTCTGGTCCCTGGGAGCCCAGCTCAGTGCCCACTGGCACAGAGCACCTGGACCCTCTGCTGGACGACGCCCCCAAGCATCTGCCCAGCCGCCCCAACAAAGGCTTCACAGGTGAGCCCCACCCCACACAGGGCTTCTAGGCTGGTCGTGGGCAGAGCGCTTGCTGTTGCAAGGCCAGAAGGCCTGGGTTCTTCTGCTAACTTGCCAGGTGGCTTACATAGGTTATATTACCTCCTTTTTCCCATGGAGCAGGGGATCAACACCCAGGATACTCTGGGTCACTGTGAAGGTGAAATGGGCTCATGTGTGTAAAAGAGCCAGATGCCAAGCTGAGCCCACAAAATCAATTCTTGGAGTTGTGGGGCAGCCTTTCTTGAGGCTTGCGGGTTCCTAGGAATTCACCCCACCTGGGATTGAGGTGGGGCAGTGGTGAGGGCAGGACCCTGGGGTGCTAGTGAAGCCCCGGCCAGTGCAGGATCTGCTCCAGCTCTGTCCTCCCGGTGTGGGGTGGGGCCAGGCCCCTCCTTCAGGGACCTCCCGGACCTTTCACCTCCTCCCAGCTCCAGCCTGCCCTGCAGCTCTCTTCAGCCCTGCCAAGTCCTGAGCCTGCTGCATTGCCTCGTGGCAGAGCTTGGGCTGCCCTGGCAGATCCGAGTCCTTTCCCTGGCGATCCTATACCTGCAAGTGACGGTGGACACCCACCCTGCCACTAAGCCTTGTCCTCCACAGCCATAAAATCAGAAACAGTAACTTAGGTTACTTTATGGATTGACCTTGAGGGTTGGAAAAAACTAAGTGGGTCAACTCCTGAGGATAGAGTGGCAGGAAGGACTCATTGTCCTTGTCTCCTGGATGCTTCTGTAAGCAGCCTGAGGGCAGGGCTTGTGGCAGATTCACTCTGGTGCCCCTGTGCCACTTGGCACACTGCCAAGAGACCCTGAGGCGGTTGCTCTAAACGTACAGAGTTCAGCAGGTCGTGGTAGCACCTGCCTGTCATCCCAGCACTTGGGAAGCCGAGGCGGGAGCATTACCAAGAGTTCAAGGTCCGCCTGGGCTACATAGTGAGACCCTGTCAAAAGAAAGGAGAAGGAAAGTAAACGATAGAAGTGTGGAGCCATCCCTGGAGGGCTGTGCCTTGTACGGGAACGATAATGTGACAGCTCCCCTTCAGAGCTGCAGGGTGGGCTAAACAGACGGCCAGCGGTGCAGAAGCCGCCCCACTCCGCCTCCTCCCGGAAGCCCGCCTGCTGCCATCTCCCCTCCCACAAGCTCTGTCGGGCCAGGTGGTGCCGCTGGGCTTTGCCAGGCCCTGTGCTCCCCTTCCCCGCTCCCAGTGCACAGTACCTGACTCACCTAGGACCACGCAGGGACCAGGAAGTGTGTGTGGAAGGAGTGGGTGAGGAGGGGTGAGGGCTGTGATGGGAGCAGCCGTGTGTGCGGTGCCCCTCACGGCTGCCTGTTTGTGTGCTGTTAGATACGCTCTTCTACATCTACACGTCAGGCACCACAGGGCTTCCCAAAGCTGCCATTGTGGTGCACAGCAGGTAAGGGGCGGGGTCCCAGGGTGGGCGTGGGGGGCACCTCCTGCCGTTCCAGGGGCCCACCGAGCCCTTCGCCCTGTGCCCTCCCAGGTACTACCGCATGGCCGCCCTGGTGTACTACGGATTCCGCATGCGGCCCGATGACACTGTCTATGACTGCCTCCCGCTCTACCACTCTGCAGGTAGCCCTGGGCCCAACCGCCATCCTCCATCCTCCTGCACCCTGTACTTAGGGAGGCCCCACCCTCCTGCCAGTGAGAAAGCAAACTCCAGTCTGGGTTCGATGCAGGCATGGCCAGTGACCTCCACCCCCTGGTCCATGTGAGCGCCCAGTGCAGCCTCACAGTGTGGGGTGACATCCGTATCCTCACACTCACACGTGTACAGCATTGCTGTTCATTGTTGAGTGTAAGAGAAGTGTGTGTGTGTGTGTGTGTGTGTGTGTGTGTGTGTGTGTGCGCGTGAGCAACACCAGGGACAGAGATGGCTTGTGAGTGTGGGGGAGCCCAGAGGAGGAGGTGTGAGGTGCAGAAGCCACGCAGGGTAGCTCAGTCCCGCCCTGCAGAATGGGGCCAGCTCCGCAGTGTAAGGTGTGCACCTGACCCATAGGTACTGAGCAGGGGAGCAAGATGCTTAGTTCATGAAGAGGGCACAGGACGGGAGAAAGAGACCAGGGGAAGGGGCCTATGAAGAGGGTGGCCTGGGCCAGAGCAGGCCCTGGGGGTGGGTCTCTGGCTCTTTGACCTCCAGGTGCCCTCTGCCCTCAGGAAACATCGTGGGCATGGGGCAGTGCCTGCTCCACGGCATGACAGTGGTGATCCGGAAGAAATTCTCAGCCTCCCGCTTCTGGGACGATTGCATCAAGTACAACTGCACTGTGAGTAAGGAGGGTCGGGGAGGAGCAGCCCCTCTCCCCGAGGGGACAGACTTGGGGGCATCTGTCTGTCTGGAGTTGAGATGGTTCAGAGCGCAGCCAGCTCTTGTCCAGTGGCGCAGTGCTCCCACTGTCCAGATGGGGAGACTGAGGCTCAGGAGAGAAGGAGTCACATGGCCAGCCCCTGGGGTGGGGAGGTGAAGAGGGGCCACCTTGCAGGCCCAGACGCATCCCAAGCCCCCCCACCCCAGATCGTGCAGTATATCGGTGAGCTGTGCCGCTACCTCCTAAACCAGCCGTCCCGGGAGGCAGAGACCCAGCACCGGGTGCGCATGGCGCTGGGCAATGGCCTCCGGCGGTCCATCTGGACGGAGTTCGCTGGCCGCTTCCACATCCCCCAGATTGCCGAGTTCTACGGCGCCACTGAGTGCAACTGCAGCCTGGGCAACTTCGACAGCCAGGTGGGCCCTGGTGCCCCCATCTCTGCTGTCCTGTTGGGCCCTACACGGGGAGAGCCTGTGCCCAAATGTCGGCCTTTGCAGGTGGGGGCCTGTGGCTTCAACAGCCGCATCCTGTCCTTCGTGTACCCCATCCGGCTGGTGCGTGTCAACGAGGACACCATGGAGCTGATCCGGGGGCCCAATGGCGTCTGCATCCCCTGCCAGCCAGGTCTGCCCTCGGTGGGAATTGGGGGGCAGAGGGTAAGGTTTTGGCCAGTCCAGGTATATGGGGACCCCGTTCTGACCAGGGGCTGTCAGTTGGCTCTGCTCTTGGGCCTGCAAGGTGCTCATCTCTTCATCCATCCAGCCAGACGTCTACTGTCTGTCTGTCCACAAGTCCATTCATTTCCATGTTGCCCCAGGAGGACCCCTGTCCTGGTCGCCTGGGGCTGATTCTGCCTTGGCCCCCTCAGCCCTGTGCCATGGGCCAGTTACCTTCGTGCCCAAGTCCCCTTATCTGCAAAGTAGCAGTCCCTGCCTCTTCAGGTTGACCCGAAGAGCGCAAGAACACAGAGTTTGGGCTGGGGATTTAGCTCAGTGGTTCCGCTGCCTGCTTCTCAAGCACAAGGTACCCAGTTCAGTCCTTGGTACAAAAAAAATAAAAAGGACACAGAGCTTGTGGAGTGTACCATGGACCAAGGCAGGTGCTTGGGGTGCTGCTTGTGCAGCTGTCTAGAGAATCTGAACCCTGCTTGCTATTTGGTCATCTTCAGTGCATGGGTGTGTCAGGCCAGTCCCTTCTCTGAGAGCTGCCAGGCAGGGAGAACGCTAGGAGCTACCTTCTTTCCTTTTCTGGTGGTAGGGACTGAACCCGGAGCTTTAGCACATGCCGAGTACAGACTGTACTGCTGAGCTGTTATACCCCAAGCCCCCAGAAACGGCATTTCTGTGGCAAGTCGAATTGAGATGCAGGGTGCATTCAGTGGGGAGGGCAGGTCAGAGAGGTCACCAAGGACAAATCTGATTCTGCCGTCCCTGTCCCCCAGGCCAGCCAGGCCAGCTGGTGGGCCGCATCATCCAGCAAGACCCTCTGCGCCGCTTTGATGGCTACCTCAACCAGGGCGCCAACAACAAGAAGATCGCTCAGGATGTCTTCAAGAAGGGGGACCAGGCCTACCTCACTGGTGAGTCCCTAGTCCTGGGACTCCCAGAAGGAGCCTTCTGCTACCTTCAGAGAACACCTGCCCGGGGCTCCCCCAGGCTCAGCTCCTTTATGCTGAAAGCCACGCCTGGGCTCCCGAAAGGACAGTCTGGCTCTCAAGCCCCTGGACCAAGAGCCAGGCAGCCCGGGTCCTGCCTCACCCAGCTCCTCCCTAGGCGACGTGCTGGTGATGGATGAGCTGGGCTACCTGTACTTCCGGGACCGCACAGGTGACACGTTCCGCTGGAAAGGCGAGAATGTGTCCACCACCGAGGTGGAGGGCACGCTCAGCCGCCTGCTGGACATGGCTGACGTGGCGGTGTATGGTGTCGAGGTGCCAGGTATATGGCGGGGAGAGAGGAGCATCCTGGGAGGCAACACCCGGGTTATTGCTAGCGTCGCCCACTGTCTGCCCTCCTGCTCTCAGGAACTGAGGGCCGGGCCGGCATGGCGGCCGTGGCCAGCCCTGCCAGCAGCTGTGACCTGGAGCGCTTTGCACAGGCCTTGGAGAAGGAGCTGCCCCTGTATGCGCGTCCCATCTTCTTGCGCTTCCTGCCCGAACTGCATAAAACAGGTCTGTTCCTCCTGATGCTGCACCACTCTCGAGGCCTCAGCCCTTTCCCCATTCCTTCTCTTGAGATCCGGTGGCTATAATTGACCTCCACCCACAGCTTTTCCATAGTTTGTAAGCTGTTCCCTGTGGAAAGGGTTGAATGTGTGCCTGGCACCATGCTAGGCCTTGGGGATACAGGCAACAAATTCTGACTGGAACTTTTGCCCTCTTGGAGCTTTTTTCCTTTCCTGGGTGCTGGGGTTCAAAAACAGGGTTAGTGCTTGTGAGCAAGTGTTGCACCCTGGGACACACCCCAATTTAACCTTGTAGCTTATAGAGCCAGCAACTGTAGGACAAAGAATTCCAAAGATAAGAGTAGACTACAGCTGGGTGTGGTGGCGCAGGCCTGTCATCCCAGCACTCTTGGGAGGCTGAGTGGGGAGGGTCGCTGTGAGTTCGAGACCAGCCTCGGCTACACAGTGAGTTCCAGGTCAGTCTCAACTACATGGTGAGACCCTGTCTCAAAAAAAAAAAAGAATAGACTACAGATCAGAAAGGTAAATGGAGGCAGGGCATGAGTGGTGGTAGCCCATGCTTGAAGGCTGAGCCAGGAGGATCCGGAGTTCAAGGCAAGCCTGGATTATATAGCAAGACCCTGTCTCAAGTAAAACAAGAAAGGCATATGAAGCCAGGTATGGTGGCGTCTGCCTGTAATCCCAGCTGCTGAGGAGGCTGAGGCAGGAGGATTCTAAGTTCTAGGCCGTCCTGGACAATTTACTGAAAGCCTCTGTCAGATTTTTTGAAAGGGCTGGGATATATGTAGCTCAGTGCTAGAGCACTTGGCTAGCATGGTTTAAGCCCCAGTACCGTAGGAAGGAAAAAGGGGAGGGGAGGGAGAAAGGAAGGAAGGTGATAAAGAGAAAGGGAAGAGAGAAAAGGAAAGAAAAAAGTGCAAGGTGAGAAGGGGAAGAGAAAGGAAAAAGGTGAGAGAGAGAGGAAAGAAAGAAAAGGGCAGAGAAAAAGGAAGGAAAAGAAAAGAAAGAAGCAAAGCAAGTAAGCCATACCTGGGGTGACTGGGCAGCTCCCCTGAGGGGTTAAGTAACACTTGGAGACTGAACGTACGTACGGGTGACTTTACAGCAGGGTTGGGAGCCATTCCAGGCTGTGGGAACAGCAAGTGTGAAGTCCCAAGACAGCAAGGAGGCTTGGCTCTGCAGAGGTGACAGGAAGCCTCTGAGGAGCAGTCGATGGGGGAATGGTGGGAGAGGCCAACAGAAGCCACGTGCCCAGGCCCCTGCAGGCCGCGGTTGGACTTGGACTCTCCCAGGGGCAGTAGGGAGACACAGGGAGTGTGTGCGCCACACAGTAACGTGATCATATTCGTGTCCTACAAAGTCCTGTGGCTACTGGATGGCACACGGAAGAGGACCGCAGGTGGCCCTGAGGGGAAGCGGGCAGATAAGGAACAGGCTGTCATAGCTGTCCAGGGAGCGCTGTAAGCCAGTCACATGGCAGCCAGTGCCATTCTCCTGCTGTCCACCGGTGGCTGTCAGGAGTTCCCTGGTGGACAGGAAGTGTGGAAGTTTGTGTGCCCTCCCATGTTCTTGCTGTCCTCTTTGCTCAGCCTCTGCCTGTGCTCACCTTTGGGCCACTCCTGTCTGGCCACCTCCCACAGTCACCATTTCGGCCCCCATGTCAGTGGCAGGCCTTCCCCACTGACGGGCTCTGCCAGGAGGCTGGCGCCTGGACCTCAGGGGGCACCCGAAAAAGTGTGCAGGGCTCAGGTCTCAGTGTGGCATAGGACAGGGACACTGGGCCAAGCTTGTGACTGAGACTGTGAGATCCCTGAGGCTGACGCCTGTGACTTCCACCCAGGAAAGGCAGGGAGACCTCAGGCTCCAAACCGCTTCGGAAGGGCTCCAGACACTCACAGTTCTTTGGCGGTTCAGGGACTAAGTTCAGCTGAGTGGTTCTTCTGCAGGCCTCACCTGGGTCACCCAAAGCTGCCATTGCTTAGTGATTGAGCTAGGGCAGGAGCGTGTACGGCAGCTTCACATCGGCTTTTTGCTGGTTGCTTCCACACAACAGAACCTTCTGCGGTGATGGAGATGAGACCAGTGTTACCGAGGAACTGAAATCTAAATGTTTCATTTCATTTCATTTAATGTCAATAACTATGTAGGAAGAATGTAGAGCACACCTGTAATCCCAGCACTAAGTAGGCTGAGGCAGAAGGATCACCTGGAGTTCAAGGCTAGCCTATGCTACACAGTGAGACCCTGTCTCAAAAAACAAAATAAAGCCAGGCGTGGTGGCACACACCTGTAATCCCAGCACTCGGGAGGCTGAGGCAGGAGGATCACTGTGAGTTTGAGACCAGCCTGGGCTACACAGTGAGTTCCAGGTCAGTCTCAACTACATAGGGAGACCCTGTCTCAAAAAAACCCAAAAAATAAAATAAAAAAACTAAATAAAGCAAAACAGTGTAGGGTGAACCTTGGACAATATGGCTCTAGGGGTCTCACCTGAGATAGTTCATCTCTGTTCCCAAGACTAGACTGTTCTCACAGCACCCCTGGCAGGGCGTATGGGAGCAGCAAGCACCCTGAAGCCTGCAGTCACCCACAACTCCCATTGCCTTGCTCCTGCCACCTTCTGTTGGGCAAAGCAAAGCAGAAGGCCAATCTAGATTCAAAGCCAGGTAATTTGAGAAGCAGCTGAGCCACGTTGCAGGAGTGACCGGGTACAGAGGGCAGGAGTCTGCAGGCCCTTTTGGTTGTCTGTCACACCCGGGTTCAAATCACCACGTGACCCAGGTCCAGAGTCGCCTCTCTGTACGTCAGTCTTTGTACAGCAAGGCTGATCTCGCTGACTGGGAGACAGTTTACTTACAGAAGAGCAGCCAGTTAAACCAGAGAGGATAAAATCTGAAAATATGTGCATTTTAGAATGCAGAGAAACCCATGAGGCCTCTGCGGGGGCTGTACCCTGTAGGTGCTCAGGTAAAAGGAGCCGCCCGGCTCTGCTGTCCCCCAGGTGATGTTAGGCCATCGCTTCCGTTCTTTAAGCTCAGCTGTCCCATCTGCAGATTAGGGGTGGGTGACTTGGCTGTCCCCGTGTGGGCCCCTCAGCTCTTCCTGGGCTGCTCTGAGAAGCAATTTGTGAGGCCCCGATGGAGTTTCTTTGCAAACTAATGGTTGTGTCCATCTCCCACACTTTCCCTTCCCATTTCCCCTCCGTGCCTCCTCTCTGCCCTTCCTCAACACTGGCATGAGGTTCCTGGGGGCTCAGGCCCCGGCCCCACTCATTCTGAGTTCCCCACCCCACCCCCAGGGACCTACAAGTTCCAGAAGACAGACCTGCGGAAAGAGGGCTTTAACCCGGCCGTGGTGAGGGACCCGCTCTTCTACCTGGACTCCCGCAAGGGCCGCTACGTCCCGCTGGACCGAGAGGCCTACACCCGCATCCAGGCCGGCGAGGAGAAGCTGTGACTTCCGCCCAGAGCAGTCCTGGGTGATTCCAGACCAAAGCAAGCAGGGCCCGCACCTCAGTTCCAAGGTGCTGATCCCCTCCCGCCAAAACTGCCAAGTGACGCACTGCCGCCTCCCCAGCCCTCCAGGGCTTTCTGTGAAAGCCTTGTGTCCGGGTGATATCAGGGCCTCCGCTGAGACTGAGGGGCCCCTCGGGACAGTGTCTGGATGAGGATGAAGGGAGAGGTGAAGAGGGAACTGGCAAATGGGACCAAGGCGAGTGGCCTCGGACTCAGAAGGCCGAGACTGGGCAGGGACAGCAGTGGCTGTGGGTCGGGTGGCCAGAGAGGACCCTTGCCTCAGCCCTGCCTGCACCTCCGGGAGGAGAGGGAGAGCATCAGCATGGCCCTCTACTCCCCACCACAGCAGGGCAGGACAGCACCCCTACATCCTTGTCTCCTGGGGGCCGCCTAGCTGTCCCTCAGAGCCTTTGGTCCCTTTGGGTCTGCATCGCCTTCTCCGTCCCAACCCCGGCCCGGCTGTGAGAGGAAGGGTGGGAGGGTGAGGGCTCGGGGCCAATAAACTCTGCCTTGACTCCCAGCCTGCGTGCTGCGGCCTGAGCCCGCCCCGTCTGCTCGGGTCTCCCGCGGGGACTGGTGGAACTCGAGAGATGCCAGGTCCTGGGCCGTGCCGGCCCAGCTGGGGCAGCTCTGGCGACACATTTGACCTGAGCACCAAGCCAGGCCTCATTTAGAAGCTTGTGGCCATGGCCCAGTGACCGGTGTCCTATGAAAGCCAGCCGTCAGTTGAGATCCAGAAGCTGAAGGGCCTCTGAGGGGAAACCCTTGCTCTGCTGAAGCCCACTGTTTGCTTTGCTTGCTTTGGGGCTAGAAAGAGCTTCCTGGGTGGCAGCCACGGAGCCACAGAGAGCCTCCCTAACCTGCCTGGCTGCTCCTAACGCAGCACAGCGTTGGCTAGCCTTCCCCCGGCTGGGAGTCCCGCAGTGGGAAGCACTCAGCACAGCCTGCCTGGGCCAGTGAGTGGTGTGCACCCCTGGGGGTCCAGTCCCTAATCTTGAGCCTCACGTGGAGATTTTTGTCCCTTGGCCAAGGTCACACTAGTAAGTACAGCAGTGAGGGCTGAAACCCAAGGCCAGCTGCGCCCTTCCCACTGCATCACCAGCCTCCTGGTGCAGTAGGCAGGAGGAAGCGACTTCCTTTCCACCCGTGCCTGTGTCACCAGCTCTGGGCCACACCCTGGGCCAATAACTGACAGCTGAGGTGATTGGTGGCCTGGCTGGGAAGTCGGGATGCCTCCCAGGGGAGTTGCCTCTGAGAGGAGAGTCTAGTGCTCTGGAGAGGGGTGGACAGTCGCACCCGGGGCCTTACTCAGCCACTTTTGGAGGAGCCTGGAGGTTGCTGGGCACAACTGCCACACCAGTGGTAGCCAGCAGAGGGTGCGCAGAGCTCAGAGAATCCAGTCCTGCCCCTTGGTCCTCAGCCTGAGGGAAGCAGAAAGGAGCCTCTGTGCTCCCCAGGCACCGCAGAGCAGGTCCCTGTGCCCAGCCCTGAGGCTCTTCACTCGGGCTTCAGAGGGCCTGGGCTCGGCTGACAGGAGGCACGAGTCTTTAACCTCCACAGCCAGTTCCGGACAGTGGGTGGGGTTCGGCTTATTAAAGTGCAGTGCGTGGTGATTCAGTGTGGCCTGCAGGCCAGGCCTCGATGCCCTTCCCATAAAGGAGTCCCTACCTTGCAAAACTAAAATGCGACCCTGCATGGGAAGCTCCTGGCACAGGGCCTGTGGCCACATCTGCTCACTGCACAGTAGTTGATACAGGGCACACTCCACTGCCTTGGAACTTGTCCAGTTTGGTACTCAACACTTTGATGAGAGATATTGTCCAGGTACTTCACGTGTAAGATAGCACTTGTCCATGTTGATCACCACATGACTTGCTACCCTTTCCAGCTAAGATTTTGGTAAGTACTCTTCGTACCTCCAAGAACCAATGGACAAAGATTACCAAGGTACCACTGTAAAAAAAAAAAAAAGCTGTGTGTGGCAGTGCACACCTGTAATCCCAACACTTGGGAGGCTGAAGCAGGAGGGTCACTAAACATCAGAACAGGCTGTTTCCCACTTGTCACAGGACCACCCCACCCAGAATCAGGGATGGAGACACTGGTGGGCCCCTGGATGCACATCTAGCAAAGAAGTCAGGGCTGGGCTGGGCTGCCCCTCCGCAGCTAGGGAGGATTTCCTAGGAAGTTCCAGGCAGAGGTAAGAAAAGACGAGAGAGAAGATAGTACAGTTCATCGCTGAACAGCACCAGAAGCCAGGAGCAGAGGCGCAGTGTTCTCCATGGCTCACTGCAGCTCTCTCTGGGTGTTGTTTCATCACAGCTGCCATTTGTCATTGCTGACTGTTGATGACATCATTGATCGCTCTTCTCTACCTTCCAAAAAGGAGGAGGGTGCTGTCCGACTGGTTTAAACATCCTATAAATAGCCAAGTATGAAGGTGTGAGTTTGTAATCCCAGCAGTCAGAGGCAGAGGCAGGAGGATAACAAGGTCAAGCCCAGCCTGGGCAATTTAGCCAGACTGTCTTGTCTCTAAAGATGAAAAAGGGGTTGGGAGCCGGATGTAGTGGCATATGCCTCTGGTACCTGCACTTGGGAGGCTGAGGCAGGAGGGTTGCTGTGAATTCAAGGCCAGCCTGGGTTGTGTAGTGAATGCAAGGTCAATAAACCACAAAGTGAGACCCTAAGAAAAGATTTGAGAACAGGGTGTGGTGGCACACACCTGAGGACGCTGAGGTAGGAGGATCTGTGCAAGTTCAGGGCTAGCCTGGGCTACATAATGAGATCCTGTTTTAAAAAACAACAACAACAACAACAAAATCACAGAATTTGGGAAGTAATTCTGTATGAAGACCCTGGGTTCAATCCCGACTACTGCATAAAAAGAAAGGGCAGATGGTGCACACCTGTAATCCTAGCATTTGGGAGGCAGAGGCAGGCGGATCACTGCAAGTTCAAGGCCAGCCTGGACTACAAAGGGAGACTCTCAACCAAAAAAAAATTTTTAAAAGAAGGGCAGCCAGACTGCAGGGCTAAGGGAAGGGGGTAGGGACAAAGCAAGATATGAAAGTGATCCCTGCAGGGCATTGTGGGAGTCTCTAACCCCCACACACACACACTCCAGGAGGCTGAGGCAGGAGAATCACCGTGGAGTTTGAGGCCAGCCTGAACTACGTAGTGAGACCCTGTGTGGAAAAAAGAAAAGTGAATCCTTCAGGGGCACTGCTGCACTCCCCCATGTTAAGACCTCAGGCTGGAGTCCTTGTCCTCTAGTGAGGTCTCGCCAGAGGCCACACGCGCGGAGCGCTTGCAGCATAATTTCACTAAATCCCATCCCAAGGATGAGGATTCTGAGGCTGAGAGGTTAGGTGGCCTCAGAGACCACGGGCTGGGAACGGCGGGGCTGGAGGAGGGCAGGCGGGAAGGGGCCAGCCCGCAGCGACCCCGGAGGTCCGGCGGCTCGGGGGACGCTCAAGTGGAGGCCGGGCCAGTGCGGAGCTATCACTTTCAGTTCCTGGGAAGAAGGTTAAATACCGTTGAGGTGGCAGTGGCAGGGGAGGGGGCGGCCGAGGGACTTTCAAAGGGGCCTCGATGTGCGGCCAGCCCCTCCGGGCCTAATGATATTCCGGGCTCAGCCCTCGGCTTTGGCGGCAGTTTAACCCGAGCCGGGGCGGATTTCTTTCTCACTGATCTCAGCTTGACACCCAATTAGCACAAGAATGGGAGGAGGAAGCCTGCGAGAGGCCCCTCCCAGCCTCCCGGGGTGCGCGTGGGGCGCGGGCGCGAAGACAAAGGGCAGCGGGCAGGGGGGCTCCCGCGCCCTCGCCTCCCCCGCCGACCCCGCCATTGTTTCCCCAGGAGCTTCGGAGAGGACGGAGGCCGACGCCCCGGCTAGGCGGCCTGCTGGAGGGGACGGAGGATGGGGCCCTCGGCGCGCGCCGAGAGGATCCGAGGGGAGGGCGAGGCAGGCAGAGGCGCTGTGGGTCCCTGGGCCGGGGGAGGAGCCGAAGGCACGGAACCTGGTTTGCGGCCTGACATGTGAGCGTCCTGGGCCAAGTCGCACATTCTGTCTCGGTTTTCTTTTCTAAAAAATGGTAGGAGTCCCTGTGAGGAATAAACTAGATAATGCGCGTGAAGTGCCCAGCAGGTGCAAAGAGACGACTCAATAAATACCCGCCCCCAAGAAAGGGTCTATGTAGTTGAGGCCGGCCTTGAAATCTTGGCAGTCCTCCTGCCTCAGCCTCCTGGGATTTGATGGATGCACATGGTGGGCGATAAATGTTCCGTGAATGTATACCACGTGAAGCTAATTGTGTTACGCAGGGGACGAGTGAGGAAGGCTTGGAGTCAGAAGCACATCTGAGTGGGTGCTGGGCAGCCTCCAGATGAGCCGGGGCCCGTCCGCTCCCACCTCCACTTCGCAGGTCCCCTTGGTCTTGCTCTGCCCGACAGGACTTCTGGGAAGGCTTCCCTGATCCCCGGGCTGGGTTAGGGAGTCTCCAACAGCCTCATGTGTGTTCCCCCCACCCCGTCATATCACTGCTCTCACCGCGGGGGCCGCTTTGCCACTTTTGTGTTCTGGAACGTCATCCCCAGGAGGGCAGGGACTCACTAGTTTTGTTGGCTGTGTCCCTGCCCCAGCACTGGTACTCGGTGAAGGTCACATGGATGAAGGGATTCAAATGCTCCGGAGCACCCTGGCTCTCAGGACAGACAGCTAACACGGCCTGAGCCAGTGTACACTGTACAATTCTTCCTTATATGCTGGGTATCCAAGGTGAGTCAGGAAGGGTTTCTGCTCTAGAAAAGCTAAGGCCATGGAATAATTAACATATTTTGCTGAAAAGATCTTAGAGATCACTTGGTCTAAAACACACTTTTTTTCTTTTTTTTTTTTTTTTTTTTTTTTTTGAGACAGGGTCTCACTATGTACTTGAGGTTGACCTGACTCACTATGTAGACCGGGCTGGTCTCAAACTCACACAGATCCTCCTGCCTCAGCCTCCTGAGTGCTGGGATTACAGGAGTGTGCCACCACGCTGGGCTATTTATTTTTATTAGTACACGTTTGGAGTATGTTTGAAGTATATGCAGATTACAATCATGTTGGAGAGTCTAGTTGGTACGTGCTTATAACATTATAGGCAGCTAAGTTAGATAGAAATTAATGTACAGTCGAAGAGGGCCTGGGTTCTCAAGGAAGTCGGCGGAAAAATGAAGACATCAGAATCACTGCTGGAGGAACGTCTGAAGAAGGCAAAGTCTCAAGATAAAGTCACAGTGGCCAGACTTGCACCCTTCCCTAAGGGAGAAGTATGAATTTGAGAATAAACTGCAATTTGTATCACCCAATCCAGGAGGTCCACTAGGCATCAGACACCCAGGCGGGTGTCCTGTCCTGACCCCTCCCTTCCCAGAATCCCCCCTGTCCTAGGGGTCACAGATAAGCCACCGTTAAGGACACTAGCTTCGTGCTTGCTACCTGCGTGCCCTCCTCCCTGTTGGGTATTAGCTAAGTGGCTACACCTCTAATCTTCTTTGTTGGTTATCGTTTGACCCATGCTGTAACCACATCGTTACTTTGATGTATAAATTTCTCCTGACAAAAGGTCTAGTGGTAACCCACGAAGGACCACTCCTCTCACAAAAAACCTTTCCCACTCCTAACCTCTGTTATGGATTGGAACTCATTCTTCAATTTCAGGGGACACACACTTGGCACATCTCATGTCTACCAAGTTATTTCTCCTATATGAATAATACAACTTGGTTCTTGTTTGTTTGTTTTTTTATTTTGGAGACAGGGTCTTGCTATGTAGTTCAGGTTGGTCTTGAACTCACTATGTAGCTCAGGCTGGCTTTGAACTCACTGCTATCCTCCTGCCTCAGCCTCCTGAGTGATGGGATGATAGGTGCGGACCACCACACCCAGCTCTAAATTCTCTTTACAGACTGAGGAAACTGAGTTCCAGAGAGGGGAAGCAATGTAACACGTAGCTCGGTGACTGTGGGGTTGTCTCACGTTCCAACAGACTCCTTTGTCCTTTTCAAGAACCAGAGCTGTCTTGTTCATCCTGTCTACCAGTGCCCTGGAACAGTGCCCAACACACTGAGGGGACTCAGAAGTGTCCAGACTTGAAATGGACAAGGAAGCCGTGGCCGGAGACAAAGAGGAATGAGACTGGGCTGGCGATTTGGCTCAGTGGTTCCGCCACCTGCCTGGCCAGCACAAGGGCCAGGGTTCGATTCCCAGCACCCTCCCCGCTAAAAAAAAGAGGAACGAGACAGGCAGCCAGAGCAAGCAGGTGTAGATGAGAGGTCCAAGTGTGAGACAGAGGACGTGGAGGTGTGGAACAAATTGAGGTTGCAAACCAGGAGATTCATCTAGATTTGTTGACTGGGTGTAGAAAGAGAAATAACTGAGGACAGTGTCGGAATGCTTGGGCGACTGATAGTGGTATCCAGGAGATGGGGAAACGCAGCCTGTATCAGTGGTGATAAAACCTATGGCACAGGTGCCCAATGGGCTGTTTGCATCCTTGAAAGTTCTAAAAGGTTCACCATCGGGCTGGACTTGGTGGTACACACTTGTAATCCCAGCACTTGGGAGGCTGAGGCAGGAGGGTCACCCTGGACTACACAGCAGAACCTTATCTCAAATAGACTGGCCTATACCAAGAACTCATTTAGTCCTTACTACATTCCTATAAAGAAGGGCTCTTATCTCCATTTTACAGAAGAGGTAAGTGAGGCACAAAGATGTTAAGGGGCCTCCCCAAAGATACAGCAAGGATGTTCTGAGACCTGGATTTAACAGTTGAACTCCAAGCTCTCGACTTAAATCAGTACGCCCTTAGACAGCAGGCTACACTGCCAGCCTCTACCGGTACCAAGTTCGGTTCAGAATGTGCTGCAGTTTAGAGCCCCAGGCAGCCACATCCACTCCAGTTTCCCCTCTGGGCTCTAGCAACAACTTCCAGTGGTCTCCGTCACTTCCCTTGCTTGTCCTGCTCTGACCCACGCTCCACACTGCAACCAGAAAGGTTTTGTTTTTGCTTGGGGCAGGGCAGGGGTGGTGGTGGTTGTCTGACACCAGGGCCCCTCACACATGCTAGGCAAACACAATGAGCTATGCCCTCAGCTGTAAAAACGGTTTTTGTATGTTTGTTTTTGAAACAACTGTAACCCCCATCTTAGCAAACTCGCTGCTCACCAACTCCCCCCGTCCTCCCTTCTGCTCTGGTTTGCTTGCCTCTTCTGCTCTCAGTGGACGGCCCTGCACGCCCCTAGTTTACTCCAGCTTTAGCACCCAGCACTTCCCGTCCAGTTTCAGGTCGAACACAGGACCTTGTAAGCACTCCACTACCGAGCTACACCCCCACCTCCCAGTTTTCTTTCTGAAATACCTGTAACTTTATTTATATGTATTATATTTGTTTATTTTGGTACCAGGGATCAAACTCAGGACCTGGCACTTACGAGGCCAGGTGCGGTACCACTGAACTAAATCCCCAGCCTGAAATGTCTGTAGCGTCAGATCATTTCTTTCCATTTGAGATTTACACTTATTAGTATGCTAGTTTTTCGTTTTTATTGTTTTCTTTTGAGGCAGGGTCTCCCTTTGTAGTTCAGACTGGCCTAAACTATGTAGCCCAGGCTAATCTCGAACTTGATGCGATCCTCCTGCCTCAGCCTCCCGAGTGCTGGGATTATAGGCCTTAGCCATCACGCCCAGCAGTATGCTAGTATGCTTACTTGATGACAACTTGTCTCCCCCGCTAGCATGTTAAGACCCTAGAGCCAAGAGGAACCTAACCTGCGCCCTTTTCACCTTTGACTCCAATGCACCAAAGGTACCCCTGGCACATGAGCGTGTAATAAATAGCTGTTGGGTGACATCTGAATCAACATCGAAAGGGACAGGTTGAACATCGAGTTCACCGCTTAGAAGACTTATGGGGCAGAAATAAAAGATTGGGGGGTCGCTTTTATTTCAGTTAGACGAGTGATGCCGAGCGTGGTGGCGCACGCCTGAAATCCCAGCACTCGGGAGGCTGAGGCAGGAGGATCGCTGTGAGTTCGAGACCAGGCTGCGCTACATAGTGAGTTACAGGTCAGTCTCAACTACACAGTGAGAAACAAAACAAAACAAAACGACATGTAAACGAGGTCGCCCAAGCAGTATGTTGGCTGAAGACATTTAAAACTAATGTAAGATAAGCAGTAACGTTGCTCACAGTCACGGAGCCAAAGACGATGCCGGTTCTGCACTAGCTAGCTGCGGTTTCGTTGAAAACAACCGGCAACCACGGTCTCTGAGAGTAAGTGACCGCCTCTCCTGCACTTTTCGAACTTTCCTCCAATAGCTGAGGAAGACGGACTGGCGGGTCCGCCTCTTCCGTCCGTGGCTCCGCCTCTTCCGCTCACGACACCAGGCGGCAACCGGAAATTGGTGGGCGCGCAGGAACTCAGGGGGAGTTTCCTACGAGCTAGGCTTCCTCAACATGGCAGCGCCCTTGTCAGTGGAAGTGGAGTTCGGGTGAGTCAGGGAGCTGGGGCGCCGCGGGGATGCGTTGAAGTCGTCGGGCCCGAAGCTCCCCTCTGCCTTGGGACCTGATAGGGCCGAGTTGCCGAGGCTCCCCGCACCCGCCTTGAGCTATACCACCCGCCTCGAGTCTGAGGGGTTCGGTCTCCCTTGGCCCCAAGGCCGTATGTCCGGGAATAGAGGCGCACACAACGGCGGGAGGTGCGCTCCGGGTACTTATCGGCGTCCTATAGTTTGCAGATCTCAAAAGACATGACAGTTAACAGGCGACCTCCCCACAATATTTAGTAGTCTCATTTCCGACCGGGCCCATCTCTTTGGCATCTGAGTTTCTAGAACCTGAAACTACCACTCTTCGGTTCTTGATTTCTTTACGGGACTCCTTCCCAAGAATTGAGTTTTAAGCAGACTGGAGCTTCTTTCAGGGTAGTCAGTAAACCTGCTGAGTAATTTCTGAAGATCATGAGAAATAACCAAAGAACGAGCAGGAAATTTCTTTAAGCCACTATCTTTCCCCCAAACAGAAGGTTTGTCATGGTTTCAAAGGTGAGAGAAAAGCCGGGTGTAGTGGCGCATGCCTGTGAGCCCAGCACTCAGGAGACTGGGGCAGGAGGAATGTTGTGAATTCGAGGTCAACTTGGGCTACATAGCGAGTCCAATGTAAGCCTGGACTACAGAGGGAGACGCTGTCTCAAAACAACAACCAAAAACAAAAAACTCAAAGCTGAGAAAAAAACTGGAGGATTTAGAGAGAAATTTAAAAGAAAAAGAAAAGAAAAAGCCGGACCTAGTGGTGGTGCACGCCTGTAATGCCTGTAATCCCAGCACTGGGGAGGCTGAGGCAGGGGGATCGCTGCGAGTTCGAGACCAGCCTGGGCTACATAGTGAATTGCAGGTCAGTCTCAAAAAAGGGGGGGGCCCTAAAAACGGGTGGTTATCATTTCCAAAATCACAGAGAAAGTGAGACTGAGTGTGAGAGAAGACTGTGTGAGAAAAGATTAACTAAGGTCTATGTGATAAGAAAGGTCTGGTATGCAAATCTAAAATCTTCGTCTACATTCCTTTTCTCTCATTGGATGCTCCATTTCTTTCATGTTTTCTTTTCACTGGGTAGTTCATTCTCCAGTCATTTATTGAGTGCCTACCGTGTGCCAGGCAGTGGGCCAGTTACAGAGGATACAAAGATAAATAGCACTCTGTCCATGCTCTGCAGTGTTCAGCATTTCTGTCCCTTAGAATGGGGACAGTCTCATGAGTGATAAATGCATTTTAATTGACGATATTGTCCGACTGCTTGGCTCCAATTAGAACTACACTGGCCTCGCCTCCTATTTTGCTTCACTGACCCTGGGCCTAGCCATACCCTCCAAGCCCGGGGGTTCTACAAGGATCCATGCTATCTTGACAGACTGCAGCAGAGTTGGAAAGGAAGAAGCTGCCAGCATTAAGGTTTATCCGTAGCCCACTTGCATTTCGTTGTCACTGAATCACACAGTGTTTGTTTACCAGAGATGTCTTCTGTGTGCCAGATACGAGCTGGTAGTAAGGAAGGAAGTCATGAGGGAAACAAGGCCCTTGCCTTCCGAAGTTGATAGACTGACATAATTGCCCCTTTTCTGACATCACCCTCACTCCCAAGAGCAGTAGTGAACCCCGGCAAGGCAGGACAACATTCCTGCAGCCACCTGGCCACCTCCACTTCATGGGAAGTAAGAATGCCCAAGATATGTGCCAGACCCAGATCCCTTCTCTGTCCACAGATGTTGTACATCTCATCTTTTCATTTCATGCATCTCTTAGCAGCTGTGCTTCATCCTTCTGTATGAACCTGAGGCTGCCATGCCCATCATTCCCCCAGGGGTCCTGCCTCTGCCTGCTGAGAATCGGGGTGTGTCTTCACTTCTAACCCCGGCGCAGACATAGTCATCTTGGCCCCGCAGCTCTTCAAGGACCCAGGAACACCTCTCTCTCTCTCTCTCTCTCTCTCTCTCTCTCTCGCTCTCGCTCTCTCTCTCTCTCTCTGGTATGGGGGATCAAATTCTGGCCTTTAAGCTTTCAAGGCAGGCAGCAGAACCACTGAGCTAAATTCCCGGCCCCCACCTTGCTCTCTCTGGTCAGTAACCATTTCTGCCATCTTTTATCTTTTCCCCTGAACTGTCCTTAGAGCATTTTTCAGGAAACTCGGGATTCAGAGTGTGTAGTACAGATGTGTTTTGGGTTCCTTAGGTCCAGGCTATAACAGCCAGGTTTGAGATCACCTTTGTTCCATTCCATTTTCTCCTCAACAAGTTGGAGAAGTCTTGGCAAGACAGGACACACCATTGAAGTCAGAGAAGAATGGAGAAAAGTGGGCATTTTCATTCATTTGGCAAATATTTATTGACTACCTACTGTGTGTCAGGCCCTGTTTAGGAAGAGCTTGTATTCCAGCAGGTAGAGGGGAAATAAATAAGTAAATATAAATAGATGATTTTCTTGAAAAAATGAAGAAGATAAACTAGAAAAAGTGAGGGCATGGCTGGGGGTGTGGCTCAGTTCCTGTGTAGCGTGCTCAAGGCCTTGGGTTCCATCTCTAGCAGTAAAAAAACAAAAAGGCTAGGGATTTAGCCTAGTGGCACCATGCCTGCCTTGCAAGCACAAGGTCCTGAGTTCGATCCCCAGTACAAAAAAGAGAGAGAGAGAGAGAGAAAGAAAAAGGAAAAGTGAAGGCATTTGGAGAATATCTATACCTGTCACTGGTGTCATACATAACCCTCATGATGTTGGAGTTATCTTAGCTGAGTGTGAATAGTAAATCCTCTAAGATATAATGGGATTTGCCCTTGAGTCTCCACAGCCAAAACAAGTTCCTTGTCTGCCTCCTTGAATCACTCAGAGGCTCAGCGTGGATCTTCCCCATTCCAGATGTGCTGACAAATGCCAGCCTCTCCCTTGGGACCCAGCAGTGCCAGGTCTCTCAACCACACTGGTCCTCCCTTCATCTGCTTCTAAAGGGAAAAACAGGCTCAGCCTCCGAGCCTGGTACCACCAGGTTTGGCCACTCTCAGTTGTTTGCATGGGTCCCAGCACTTCTAGTTCCCACCCTTCTTCTCTGACCCCCAACTTCTGAGCCCCTTGCCTGCTGCCCTCCCCCACCCCAGCTGCTGCATGTGCCAACCCCTACCCAGGAGAAACGAGGCTCTTGGAAGGAGATAAATGCAGGCTCTGTGCAGACTTGCAGCTGAGATGGCCCTGCGCGCGGCCACAGATGGGCCTCTGCTCCCCCTCCACATTTCTGCATCAACAAAGCGTGACCTTGTTTGGATGACAGTCGCCCCATGTTTCTCCCATGACAATGCTTGCCTTGCCTTTGCCTCCCAGTGGGCTGCCTTAGGACATCTCTGTTCCCTGAGATGGGGAAAGGGTGCTGGGCTGGGAGACATCACATCTATCAAGTCTATTAAGGCCTTCTCACTTCAGACCCATGTGAAGTCTGGGATGGGAATCAGGAGACCCAGAGGGAGATGCTGTGTGGGACGCAGGAGTCCTGGCTTCTGGACTTGGCTCTGAACATGTCTGCTGTCCCAGCCTTCCCTTGGCCAGGTGCTGGGGCACAGAAATGAACCAAACTCCGTCCCCAAAGGGTGTTGTGACCTCAGAGGAGTCATGGGTTGTTTGTTTCGTTTCTGGCAATGTTGCTAGAGCTTAGCAGGAACCAGTTAGATTCAAATCCTAGCGCAGCTACTGCTTGTCTGACCTTGGACAAGTGGCCTAATCTCTCTAGGCCTCGGTCGGCTTCTCTGGTCAAATGGAATTAATGTCGTCCTCCCTCCTTCCCTGAGAAGGCCTGAGGGGGAAAGGCAATGAAGAACATCTAATAAAAGAGCAAGGTGATGTGAACAGTTTCTCTTTGTTGAAGCTAAGCCCAGTGACTCTCTAGGCCTCCTGCACTGTTCTGTGCCTACTCGGCCAGCAGCAAGGGGCACACATGGGCATTTCCAATGTTGACCTAGCCCGGGGAAACTGCTAGATGCACAAAGGTCTCCAGAGGCTTTCCTAGGTCTTCTTGGCATTTTGTTTCTTTGCTTGCCTGGGTTTTGTGCCTCTCCTCTTTTTTTTTTTTTTTTTTTTTTTTTTCTTTTCTGAGTGAAGTCTCCTTAAGTTGTCCAGGTTAACCTCAGACTCATGATCGTCCTGCCCTAGCTGGGATTACAGACGTGTGCCACTGTGCTTGCTGCTTCTCGGCAGTTTTGCAGATGGAAAGAGCAAGGCTTGAAGTTGGACGTGGGATTACATGCCTGTGATCCAAGCACTCTGGGAGGCTGAGGCAGGTGGATTGCAAATTCAAGCCCAGGCCAGGCAGTTTAGCAAATTAGCAAAACCTTGTCTCAAAGCATAAAGTTAAAAAAGGGTTAGGGGTATAGCCCACTGCAAAGGCCCCAGGTTCAATCCTCAATAACACGCACGTGCTTGCGCACACACATAAAATCAAAGCCTGAGAAGATTGTGTTACATGCCCAGGGTGGAATCTGGTTCCTACCGTGGGGCTGGCAGCTCTAAAACCTAAGTTCTGCAGCTTCATTCTAAGCTGTCTCTCAAGAAAGAAGAGGTATAAAAATGAAAGTCTATGAATTTGGATGCTTGATTATTGATGATTATACGCATTCCACTTTACCACATCAGGAAATCACAGGAGAGAATCAGTCCCTGCTGCCCACTGTGTTCCTGCACCTTGATCTCTGCATCTTCCAGGATTCTACTGCCAGCCCCACCCTCCGTTCTCAGGCTCGGCTGCCTCCTTCCACTTTGAGGAGCTCACCTGGCTGTCTTTTCTCTGGACTTCCTTTGCAGAGGCGGTGCAGAGCTCCTGTTTGATGGCGTAAAGAAACATCAAGTCACTTTGCCTGGGCAGGAGGAGCCCTGTGAGTATTGGCTTTCTCAGTGTATCCCTGGGCCCCATTGGGCAGGAGTGGGAAGGGGCAACCTTTCCCTGGCCATGGGGAGGGAGGAGGAAGCTGCACCAGAACACTCATCTCCCATCCTCTCTGGATTCAGCCAGTTTCATAGGAGGGAGGTGGGGCAGCTTAGTCCTTACATGGGGCTTCTGTACAAGGACCCCCCCGCCAGAAGTTTAGACCAGTAAGCTCAATGTGGCTGCGCACACCTATAATCCCGGCACTCAGAGAGAACGAGGCAGGAAGATCGCTGTGAATTTGAAGCCAGCCTGGGCCCCATAGAGATCCTGGGCTCAAAAAAGAATCTTTAGGGCAGTGACCTCACCTTTCCGAGCTTTAGCATTGTCATCTGTGAGGTGGGAATGGTGATCCATCTGTCAGTGTCACTGAAAGGAAGAAGCAGGTTGTGCCCTGTGTCTCTGTTGTAATATGGCAGCAGAGGAGGAGCCTACGAAAGTGGCAGCCTCTGATGAGAATGGAATGTATGAAGAGACTAAATAGGCTCCCGTTGGCATGTGAGGATCGAGTCCTTATTAGTACGTGTTAGCAGTACAAAGTAATAATTACTTTCACCTAGGTACATGTACACAACACGTCTTGATTCTTTTTACGTCTCCTCTCCTTCCCTCCAGTTACAAAGCCTGGAGGAGGGAGGTTGACAAAGGGAGATGGTGGATTTTTAAAAACTTGTTCATTCAGATACTTGCTAATATTTCTTAAACAGATACGTACTAAGCACTTCCGAGTGACAGACCATGTCCAGTCATTGAAGAGACACATGAGCAAGAGGAGCCAGTCCCTGACTTCCCCTGGGGAGGTCTTAAAGGGTAACCTTTGGAGGTCTGGCTAGGTAACCATCAGTGTAGTTTAGTGGCAGGGCCTGGATGTGGCAGCCATTCAGGTCTGTTTTTGGGGGGGTTGGTACTGGAGGCTGAACCCTGAGCCACACCCCCGGCCCGTGTTGAGGTCCTTTGCAGGCCTGGCAGTAGATGCTCAGAGCAGAATAATTAGTGCTGAGAGCCTGGAGAATGGGGTTCCTGTGGGGGACAGTAGGAAATAGTCAAGGGAGATTTGAGGGATTTTTCTGGAATGGGCACAACTGTCAGGAATCAAATGGTTATGAGGGCCCACATTCCCTGCTACCCAGCTATCCCTGGCCCTCCCTTGGGTCAGGGGACAGCGGCACAGGGGGGTCTGTCTGTCATGTACCAGTATGGGGGACACTTAGGAGCAGGGCAGTGCTCCCCTTGAGCTGGAAACGGATGGGTGGCTGGCATTCATGTCAGGATGACGAAGTTGTGTGTCCCTGCTGGGGAATACCTGCAGGTGACAAGATGATGTTTCTTAGTTTGATAGATGGCCACACAGCCTTGGGAGGGAACAGGGTTTGCTGCCGACTCACAGATTGAATCTCAAAGAACTTACCTGCAACTTTATTAAAATATCAGAAGTTATTATTTATTTCCCCTCAAGTTTGTTCAGCAAAAAAGCCTGCAGAAACTTTCCCAATTCCAGCCCCATCTCATTAATTCATTGACTGAGTACTCAGCAAGTGCCAGTTGTAGTAATAAGTACCTCGTTCTTTCTTGTGCCAGTCACTGTAGTTGCTGCTGGGTGTTTGGCTCTTGCCCTGATGGAGTCAACAGTGGGATGGACGTGGAGCTTGGCAGTAAGCAAGGAAACAAAATACGCAACTGTATCGTTCCAAACTGTGGTGTTAGTGGGAGGAAATTGAATGGGGGCCTCTCTAAGGAGGTGGCATTGAGGCAGGGGCCACAGGGATGAAAAGAAGCCAGCCTGAGTTGCAGAGGGAGAGCAGGCACCAAAGGCCCTTTGGGCAGTGAGGAAGCACTTGTGGAGGCCTCAGGGGTAAGAGGCCTTGAGGTGGACGAAGAACTGAAAGAAGGCCAGGATCATAGGGGATACAGGCTGAGTTCGGAGAGGTAGGAAAAGCCCCAGTTGGATATGCAAATCATTTTCACAAACTCCTAAGAGGTAACTGCCATTTTTTCCATTTTAAAAGATGGAAACAAATCTGGGCAGGGTAGCTCCAGCCCATCTTCCTAGCTCCCTAAGAAACTGAGGCAGGAGGATCACAAGTTCCAGCCCGGCCTAGCTATCTTAGCTATTTAGCAAGATCCTGCCTAAAAGTAAAAAAGAAGGGCTGAGAATGTAGCACCATGTGAAGGCCCTGGGTTCAATTACTCCCTAGTACCGTAGGAGGAAAAAAAAAGGTAGAAAGCGGGTTAAGGATGTAGCTCCTCCGTCGTACAGTGCTTGCTTAGCAAGCCTGAGATTCTGGGATCAATCCTCAGCACCACTAAGTAAATAGTGTGTGGCGGGGAGCAAATAGTGGAAACCAAACTTAGAGGTCCCAGAGGTCTCACCCAAGTCATACAGTTATTTAAATCTAGTGCCGGTAACCAGGCCCAGATTCAGGATCTCCAAGTCCAGGCACTGCTACCTGCCCATCATCACTTGACCCAAGTGACTCCTCAACATCTCTGGCGTCGCTGACATCTTGCTGTTAATCCCTCTTTGCATTGTTACCCTTTGGGTTATTCGTTCTTGCCTTCAACGGCTACTGAGTTCATTTTGTGTGATTATCTAGATGCATACCATCTGTCATCCAGGAAACCAGACCTGAGAGAAAGGCAGGAAGAAAGAATGGATTTGAGGCACAGCCAGTTACCCGAGAAGGAAAGCTAGTCTAGTGCCTGGGTTTCTTGTCCTTCATCCTCTAGCCACTTGTAGTGGGAAAGTAGGGGGCCACACTCCCCAATTCTCTGGATGGAAGGAAAGGAAACTGGGGTGCGGGGCGTATCCCTAGCTCACTATCTGGGCCCCTGCTGTGGGTCTCTACTTGTGGTTGCCGTTTTTACCTTGGTGTGCACGGAGGTATGGGTCACACTAGCCAAGAGTTGGTCGGCCTTCACTAGGCCTTACCCTGGCACACATGAGCCCAGTGGGAGGGCAGGCGCTTGGTGCTGCGGGCAGTCTTACTCTCTCCTGAACCGGTGCCCAGATCCATCGTCTGGCAGCCTTCACAGGCCAGCACTTGGCCAAGCAGATCTTGGAGGCTGTGGCCAAAACAGCAGCAGCCACAGATTATGGATTGTGACAGGTCCCACAAACAAGGGGACACAGGGGTCAAGGGAGAGCCTTCAGCCCAACCAACGGTGAGAGGAGAGGGCAGGTGAGACCAAAGAGGCTGAGACAGCAAGATAGGAGCCCGGCAGTGTACGGTGCATGTCAGTGATTCGCGACTCCTGTTTCCCATCTGTGGAATGGGAGACAGGCTGTTTCTTTGTTGAGCTCAGTATCTGTTGACATCTCCAGTTTGGTAAAGTTGCTTCCAGGTCCCAGTATTCACTTTTGTGAAGTCGAGTGTGCAGATCCAGTGAGAGCTCGCATGTCTCTGCATGCACGCCAGGGTGGTGGTGGGGTCCTTTAGCACCACCTGGAAGGAGTAGATCCTCTCCATGACTGGCCGGGCTTGGGGTGGTCAGCACCAGGCAGCTCTGGCCCCTTCCGCTGCTGGGAGCTGGCTTTTATGGCTCAAGGATCCGTGGACTCCAGGCTCCCCGGCCTGGCCTGGTGGGAGACTGCCTGATTCACCTTTCCCTGCCCCACTTCCTCCACCCTGTCCTGTGCCCTCCGCTCTGGCTCTGCTCACATTAAAGGGTGACTGGTGAGGGAAGGCAGGAACCCAGCTAGCCTAGCTCTCCGGCGCTTTAAACTGCTTAGCATGCATTTCACAACCTCTCTGGGGCCAGCTGTTCCTTTCTCTGCTCTGGGGCCTGTTTGCTGATCCCCTCCCCACTGCCCTTCTTTCCCCCCACCCCTCCCAGTCCCTGTGCAAAATTGCTTTTGAAAAGATCCACTTTCTGCTTAATTAAACAATGAGGAGCGTCCCCTCACACATCTGTAAACCTCCTTCTGAGGCCAGTTTAGCCCACAAACTGCTCCATTCTTAACCCCCATTCACTTGTAAATGGAGCCTCGAGGTTCCCTCCACCCGCTTCTCCCCCACCCTTTGCCAGTGCTTTCTTCTCTCTTTCACCTCGGACCTGGGGTGGGCTGCTAGGAGAGCCCTGACGTGGAGCCTAGTGGACTTTCTGGGCACAGAACTGTTTAACCTATAGCAGAGAAGATTTAAAGACTCAACATCTCCCAAATCTGAAGGGCCAGTGGGGGTGAGGAGCCACATTTGTTGGCGTGGCCCTAGGGAGGACCAGCAGGCCCAGTGTTGGCAGCAGCAGACTTCTGCTTGGAAGGAAAGAGCAGTTAACAGAGCTGCTTGCCAGGAGGTGACCTCCTGTCCCCAAGGCAGGCTGGGTGAGGGCCTCTTGCAGCTGGGATTCAATGGCAGGGAGATCTTGAGGTCATTCCCTTTCAGCTGGCCCTGCCACAGTGGGAAGTCAGTGTCCCCAGACAGGAGCAAGTCTGCTGGGCTGAGATGCCTGCAGGAGCTTTCATGGGTGCACTCTAAGATGGGTTTGCTACATGTTGTGGCAGCATTAGCCCAGAGGACAAGGAATCGAAGTCACTTGATCACACAACAGCACTCTGCTGGTCTACTGTTAGTACTGTGCCTTAATCCTCACAGCAAGCCTGAGGAGTATGAATTATTGTCCCCATTTGTCAGAGGACAGGTACCACCAAAACAGGTGATATGACATCCTGTTCAGTGTCATCTCAACCACAGTGCAGGCTCTTCTGGCTCCTGAGTGGGAGCTCTTTTTTTTTTTTTTTTTGGTCTTTTGACAGGGTCTCACTACATAGTTGAGACTGACCTGGAACTCACTATGTAGCCCAGGCTGGTCTCAAACTCACAGCGATCCTCCTGCCTCAGCCTCCAGAGTGCTGGGATGACAGGCGTGCGCCACCATGCCCGGCTGAATGGTAGCTCTTAATCACACCACCAGAGCAGCAGCTTCCCTCTGGTGGGTGGGCCAGGACCCAAGGCCGCCCACCATGTCGGGGCACTCACCTCCCTCCCCTGGTGCTGTGTGCCCTGTTGTTCTGGGAGCACGGAGCAGACAGGTGTGTGCAGTGACAAGTACCCTTAGCCCCAGCTTCTCAGGAGACTGAAGCAGGATCGTCTGAGCTTAAGAGTTTGAGGCCAGCCTGGACAGTAGAACAAGACTGGTCTCAAAAATGGGGGCATGGGCGGGGCAGGGGGTAGTGTCACATACAGGCAGAACAGAAGTCAGGGCCAGCCTGGGAAATTTAGCAAGACCCTGTCTCAAAGTAAAAACCCACAATGGTATATTATATATCACAAGCATATACTTATAAAAAAATGGATGATAGGAGGCAGAAAAATAAATAGTTAAAAAGGGCTGGGGATGGAGCTCAGTGGTAGACCGCAAGGCCTTGGTTTCGATCCCCAGTATTACAAAAAAATAAGTAAGGGAAGAGCCGGACGTGGTGGCGCACACCTGGCATCCCAGCACTCCGGAGGCTGAGGCAGGAGGATCGCTGTGAGTTCGAGACCAGCCTGGGCTACATAGTGAGTTCCAGGTCAGTCTCAACTACATAGAGAGACCCTGTCTCAAAAAAGACAAAATAAATAAATAAGTAAGTAAGTAAATGAGGGAGGAAGGCTAGTCAGTGCCCGGACCCCGTTCCACTCTCCTGCTGCTCCCATTCCTTTCCAGCTTCTTGTGGGAAAGCACTGGACCCTCCAGAGAGCCCCAGCCCGCCCATCAGTACCCGATCAGTGATGCACCTCTCCCCTAAAGCTGGGGGCTGGGCCGGTGGGCAGAGCATGTGGAAGCCCAGGACAGAGAAGGCGGAGGAGACAGGTTCCCCTCTGATGTGGGTGTAGGCACAGCATCGGGAGCTGTGTCTGATCATTTTACTCTGTCTTCAGAACATCCCTGTAAGGCATTCTGACCGCCCTGTTTCACACAGCAAGGAAGCTGAGCCTCTAAAAATCCGTTTTCCAAGCTCAGATAACTAGGAAATGACAGCGTCCAACTCCCAACTCCAGATCGGTGCTGTCACCCTGTCTGCTCCCTGACTCGGCAGTGTTCCATGTGTCCAGCAAGCATTCTAAGTCCAGCAGCGCTAAGTGCTCTGCCCCTACCCCGAGAATGAGAACAAGACCGGAATCGCTCGTGTTTGAGCAGCGTCCTGTTTGACGGACGAATCACAGGCCCGGGCCTGTGGAAAAGACACTTGGCCTGGGGCTCCCAGTGGGAGTGCCCTCATCCAGAGCAGGCCCCTGGTGCTGAGCTGTTTGCCTTCTCTGCGCTGCCATCCTGAGCCTGCCAGGTCCACCTGCCTTAGGTCTTCGCGTGTGCGCCTCCCTCACTCATCCTTCAGGCCTGAGCTTCAGTGTTAACACCCTTGGAAAGGTCTTTCCTGATCCGAAACAAAGAAGGCTGATTTATCACAACTAATTAAGTAATATCTGTCTCCCCTGCTGGCCTCTTAGCTTGGTGAGAGTAGGCTCTGTGCCCATCTTCCTCACTGCTGTCTCCCTTGCACTTGGCATATAGTAGTTGCTCAGTAAATTTCTGTATTGTGAATGATTCCACGGGGTCCTGGGAGGAAGAAGGCCCGCAGTAGGAGTAGGAAGGCAGGAGTGGGAAGGTGGAAGTGAGACCCTCCCTACCCCCATCCATCCCAGAGCCATCCCCAAGCCACCAGCCCCTGACTCTGCTTAACCCTTCCTCCTCCCCTGGGCCCCTTTGGAAGCCGACCATCTGGCTTGGAGCCTATTTGCATATTGTCTGGGCCTCAACAAGCTGAGCAAGATGTCCCAGGGGATGCGTTTCAGGCCAGGCCAAGTGGCCCTTGCAGCCTGCGAAGGGAGCCATGAGTTCCACCTCTCCCCACCCCCAAATCCAGGCATGGGGGAACAATACGGGTGGTGATGCGGTAGCCTCACCATGGTAACAGGCTATCAAAAATGTGTGCAGGCCTGGGGTGGGGGCAGGCAGAGGAGGGAGGGAATGACCTCAGCAAACAAGAGCATCGTGATAAATGAGCCAGCACCAGGACTCATCCCCGGCTCACCCCCCCGGACTCCATGCCGGTGCCATCACGGGAATGACCCCACCATGACCACTGGCCCTCCCCCAGCCTGGTGCCTACTCAGTGGAGCAAGGTGCCTTTCTTTTGGAGGATCGGGGCTGCTCCCCAGCTGAGTCCTGGCTCTGTGACGGAGGCCATTCGGGTCTGTGGAGGTACAGCCTATGGTCCCCAAGCCAAGCACTGCCCGGTCCCCGTCATGCCTCTGCACACACAAGCACAGCCCCGCCCGCCAGGGCTGGCGATAGATGTGTCAGGCCCTGGTGGCTCTATCGAGCGGCCACAAGATGTATGGGCTGGCGGCCTACCAGACAGTGCCGAGATGGAGGCCAAGGGGAAGCCTCTGGAACCTCGACTTCAGGAAGGAGCCCACCGCAAAGCCAAGTAGACCGCAGCTAGCTGCAGGCAGCCTCTCCCCACCCCACCCATTCCAGGGCCCATGGGAACTCCAGTCTTCTTTGTTTAGAAGGAGGAACTCGTATCGGAAGGTAGACACTGCCCGTGGCCTGTACGCTGCTGGCATCAGATCAAGGGGTGTTGGTGCTGAGCAGAGACCAGTCCCAGGCTGCGTTCCTCCTGCGAGGGTGGCATGCAGACCAGGAGATAAGCCCTGCCCGCCACGGAGGCTGACCGTGTGCCACGTCTGTGCTGTGGGGCCCACACTGCGGGCACATGGGACCCTTGGCCTAGGCTGCACTGTTTGGGCCCTGCTGGGCCCTGCCCCAGCCCAGCCCTGGAGCTTTGTCTCGGGCATCCCAAACAGCAGAGCCCTGTGAGACAGACTTGAAACAGGCTGCAGTTGGGCCCAAGTTCCCCACTGGCTTCCCAGAGGCTGGGTTGTCCTTAGGGTCTTTGTCCTTGGGTCACTTTTAAGAAAGCACAACCCCTGGCAGCCTCAGAAGAACTGTTAGAGGGCTGGGTGGCAGAGATCCTAGGTACCGAAGAGTTCGTAGGCCTGGTTCCCTGTCCTGGGGAAGGAGAGGTGGGTGACCTTGGGGACAAAAGGACTGGTGGCTGTCCCAGAGCACCACTCTCCCCAGGAGGCAGGACTTGGTGTTTACTGAGCAGGAGAGGCCCTTCCACCCTGAATCTCTCGCTCTTCAAGGTGGCTGTTGCTGGCCTGAGGGGCTATGGGAGGAGGAGCCCTGGAACAGTGATTTGTGAGCATCCGTGGCTGGTGAAGGATCCTTCTCTCCCTCTGCTAGAGGAAATTAACTGATGCTATCAGCTCAGTGATTGTTTTTCTCTCCTCACAAAAGGGAATATGTGCAGACCCCTCCAAGAGCAGAGCTGAATCCCCACATCTGGGACTGGCTAGAGAGATAAAGGTGGAAGGGGCTCTTTGGGCCCTTAGAAGCCTGCCGGCCACTCTCAGCCCAGTCTCCAGCCCTGCAGAGGGCTCTTGCCCTGGCTCTTGGATGTGACAGTTTCTCCCACTGTCTGCCTCGAGTCCTTACTATAGGTAGAGGCCGATGCTTCTCAAAGCTGGAGGCCGCTTTCTCCGAGGACCTCTCCCTCATTTCCGCATCTTAGGAACACAAGATCACGAGCAGCACAGTCTGACCTAAAAGAGGCCCTGGGAGCCGTGTTTACTTCCTTCTGGGCCAAGCAGGGCTTTAGGGGCTAGGAACTCTGGTTTGACGTTAGTTTGTTCTGTGCCTTCCTCTCCAGGGGACATCCGGAACCTTCTTGTCTGGATCAAGACGAATTTGCTAAAAGAGCGGCCGGAGCTGTTCATCCAGGGAGACAGCGTGTGAGTCCCCTTCTTCCTTCCCTGAAGATGGCAGAGGGAGGGAAGGCTGTCTGAGCTCTGTCCTTGAGTTCAGTCTCGGCCTCTTCTGTCCTCGCCTCCCCTTTGTTCTCTCTGACTCCTCTGAGGGGGCGCTTCCAGCCAGCTCTGTCGTCCCTTTTCAGCTTTCTCATTACCACACGGGACTCTTGGGCATTTGTTAAAAACCCAGATGAAAGGATCCTGGTATATTTCTCCAAATTAATACTCATTATGCCTTCCAGTCGCCACAGATTTGCTGTGGACCCTTAGGCCAGTTCTTTTGCTTTTCTGGGCTTCAGTTACCTCTCGGTATGGAAGTGACTAAGAAGAGACTGCCCAGGGCCCCCCTCATCCCAGAGTGTCTAGGGCAGAGCTTTCTCATGAACTTTCCACAGTGATAGAAATGTTCTGTATCTGAGCTGTCCAGCGTGGTAGCTGCTGCCACTTGGGGCTGTTGAACCCTTGCGGTGTGGCTGGTGTGACTAAGAAACTGGAACCATTCCATTTTATTTTCACTAATTTGAAGAGCCACCAGTGGCCAGAAGATACTGTGTGGGACAGCATAGGCTAGGATTTCAGGGCGTCATCGAGTGCACTCACGTGCACACACTCAGGCACACTCACACGCAGTCTTCCTGACCTGTCCCAGGCCCAGCTCCTAGCAAATGATAGGTTCCATGTAGCGAGAAGTCACTTTACTTCTAAAACAAAGACAGGGCTGGGGATTTAGCTCAGTAGCACTGAGCCTGCCTCACAAGCGCAAGGTCCTGAGTTCGATCCCTGGTACTAAAAAATAAAACAAAACAAAACAAAACAAAGACAGTCCAGGGATTTAGCTCAGTGGTTCCACCGCCTGCCTCACAAGCACAAGGACCCAAGTTCAATCCCTGGTACCAAAAAACAAAGACAACTCCTGTGCACAGAGGTGGGCAGCACAGTTGAGAAGCTCCTTTCATCTGCCTCAAAGCCTAGGTCACCAACAGGCCCTGGGGGCCAGAGCTGCCACCAGGTCCTGCTTCAGATCCTGCTACAGCAGTCCCGGAGGCCACATGCAAGGACAGCAGTGATCCTTGGGCTGCTGCCAGCGGGAGCCAGGCTAAGCTGCCTGTCCACATGTGGACCTGTCCCACCTTCCACAGGCAGGGCAGCTCTTGAACATTCAGATGCTTGGGGCCACAGGCACTGTCCCTGACCCAGAAGACCCACAGTGGCCCCTTCAGGATGGGCATGGGTGAGGCATAGAAGCCTGAGATCCTCCTTTCCAGGGCCTAAGATATTATGATTGAAAGTGGTGTAGGGCCTGGGATTTAGCTCAGTCATATTGCATCTGCCTCACAAGTGCAAAGTCCTGAGTTTGATCCCAGGTACCAGGGGGAAAAAAAGCCAGTGGCCCCTCCTACTGGGTGTATGACAGGCAGTATGGAGGGCGCCAAACTGGTCTTCACAGCCTTGTGGGCAGGCAGCACACTTCGGCCCCTCTGCAAATGAAGAAACTATGTGCAGAGAAGCTAACGACTTGCGTGAGGTCCGGCTGGTGGTGCTGGCATTGGTACCCATTTTGCAGCTGGTCCCAAAGATCATGGCTATCTACAGACTGCAACCCCCCCTCCCTGAGAGGTCTCTGGCCAGACATCGGACAAAGTGCTCCCTCCACTCTCCCCCCCCATGGCCCAAGACTGGGCCTCCTGCCTTAACTTTTATTTTGTTGATACGGAAGGCTGAACTCGGTCCTTGCAATTGCGAGGCAGGTGGCGGCACCACTGAGCCAAGTCCCGGGCCCTGCCTTCGTTTTTGCTCCCTGCTACTCACCACCATCTTTCCCACAGGCGGCCGGGAATTCTGGTGCTGATTAACGATGCCGACTGGGAGCTGCTGGTCAGTACTGGGGACCCCTCCCAGGCCCCTGCAGCTTCAGTGCAGAGAGGGAGGCTGTCCCTCTGCAGCAGCCAGCCACTCTGAAGCTGCTTGAGTCCCCCACCCCGAGTGCAGAGGGAAAGTGCAGCTGGAGGTTCGCTTGTTGATGTGTGGGGTACCTGTCCTTATGGAAAAGTCGGCCCTCGCTCTTCGCCTCCTAACCTCTGGGGAGAAACGTGGGCTCTGCCCTGATGTCCTCTCCTCTCTCTCCTACCCCAGGGGGAGCTGGACTACCAGCTGCAGGACCGGGACAGCGTCCTCTTTATCTCCACGCTGCATGGCGGCTGAGGGCCCCTCTGCCTGGGTCCTTTGCAGGGGAGAACAGATACCTCCCTGGTCCCCTCTTCTAGGTCTCCCTGTCCCCCTTGGCTGCCTCCTCTGCTCTGTCTCTTGAGCTCCCTCCAGGCAGGGAAAGGAGGCCAGGTGCTAAAAATGAGCCTTTCTCAGCACATGAGCAGGGGAAAGCAGTCGCTGGGGGCGTCCCCTCCAGTGTATCAGGAGTGGCGGGGGCTCTGTGGCCAGGTGACCCAGCTGCCTTCTGCTCTCTGTGTCTCGGTCTAAACGCTAAGTGACTGCCAACGAGGCTCCCTAGCTGCAGGGCCATCCTGTAGGGAAGATGAATGGGCCTGAAGAACTGAAGGAGGCCCCTCCTTTCCAGAGATCAGAAGACTCTTCGCCTCAGTTTCCCCATCTGGACAGCAGAGGGCTGTGCCTGTCCCCCACTGATATCATTATTGAACCCCAGCTGGGGTCCCCTATTCAGAGCTGCCCCCCTTCCCCCAGCCCAGCAGCTGCTCTCCCAGCCACACCCATCCTCCCCCCTTGACCCCGCCCCCCCAGGCCGCCAGATGGGCTCCTGAGACCCTCCCCAGTCTTTGAACAGCGTTCTGCTGGGAGTGGACAGGGAAGGAGCCTGACCTTGGACTGGCCAGCGGAGGCCTGGCACAGGGGTCAGTGTCCCTCAGTTGCTTCCTCTGCGACAACTGACTATAGCGTCTAAACTTGGGGAGACACTGGATGGTACAAGTTTGCCTTGCAGGAAGCAGGGTGGGGACAGGCAGCACCTGGTAGGCAGAGCGGTTTGTCCCTCCTCCCTCACCCCTTTTGGAAATCTAGGGGTCTGGTTGCCTACAACAGCTGGCCTTGGGCAAATAAAAGACTAGGTTGTTCACTGGCCTCCTGGGAGCTGCCTCCGTAGAGATGGGTGAGACTGTCCTGTAGAGTGGTCCTGTAGGGACGGTGTCTGGAGAAGGAGGTACAGAGCCAGTCCCCGCTGTCCAGTCTGGGACCAGGACACAGCCCAGCCAGACTTTGTGCCATCACCTGCAGCCAGATGCCCTGGCCCCATACTAGGAATGGCATGGAAGACCTGCTGAGCCCCCTTTCCTTCCATAACCTGGAGAAAAGTACTTTGTCTGCCCAAGGGAGACCTTAAAAAAGAAGTAGGGCACCAATATCATCCTGCCAAAGCCCAGAACATTGCTTTTCATTAAATGTCAATAATTTAAGGTGGAAATTTCTCATCCTTGGCCATGAAAGCGCCAAATGTCCTGGCAGTGGCAGAGTGTGTGTGTGTGGGGGGGGTCTCATCATTCTCTTAGGGGACAGATGACCTGGCCAGTGGGCTTCTCCAGCCTGCTGCAGGGGAGGCTCCCAAGTGGTGGGGCAGCCATGTTGGGGTTAGGGTAGGGGCTGGGCAGGGCGCTCCAGAGCCTGGCTCACCAGCCCTCTCTAGGTAGGGCCCAGGTCAGGGTGTCCCTAACAGAATGGAGCAGGCTCACTGTAGAGGGTCAGCCTGACCCGACTCCTGTAGCCTGGAGGTCCTTGCCTCCCTCCAGCTCCGGGGCTGCAGGACTGGCCAGCTGTCCCACAAGGAATCCCAGGTCCTGGAAACTGGGTGCTGGGATTCCCCTCGCTGCGGAGAGGGGTTGGAGCTGAGAGTCTCCGGGTGTCCCTGCCCCCACAGTACCCCAGTAAATGCTGAGCATCGGAGCAGGAGAAAGGCGCTGGGGAAAGCCGGATTCTCCCCACAGCAGGGATGCTGGCACGAGGGTGAGAACTGGCCCGGGCCAAGGCAGAATGGACCACTGCAGGCCTTCGGCCAGAGCCCTGAGCCAGAAAGGGGTCAGGGCAGGAGACCCAGGTCCACCGCCAGCGGCTCCCAACAGCCCCCTCCCAAGCAACTCCTGAGCCCAGCTTTTGAGAAAATAAAAGAATAAATAAACCCCACTATCTCCGAAGATTTTTCTTTAATGAGAAGGATTCGTTTGTCCAAGTTCTGCTCCCAGAGCCACGGTCATCCCCCAGCCGGAGCACATCATTCCTGAGCCTCTCTGTCCCCAGCAGTGGTTGGAGGAGGCTCAGCCCATCCGTCCGTGCAGAGGGGCTTGTGGGAGGGATTGGTTGGTTTGGGACTTAGGGGCTGATTTAGGATTTTTTTGTTTGGGGGTGACTGGTCCGTGGACAGGTTAGAACAAATTCGAAGCGAGTTAGCAAGCGCGCTCCACCAGCATCTGCTTTCACCCCGACTTCCTGCGGCTGTGGCCGAGGGCGGGCTTCTGGGACCACATTCGGTTGGCAGCTGTGTGCAGCTTCATTCCGGCCGAAATTTGAAAGGGGGAAACCCGAAGCGCTCGGCTGGAGGACCCCGCACCCGGATGGTCACCGCAGAGGAGGGTCAGCAGGAAGGAGGGTGAGGATGGCGGCTGGCGGCGGGGAACGGCGTCCCTCCTTTGCGCGGCGCGC